GCCCTCTTCACTCTCTGCTTCGGCTACATCACAGCCTTGCATGGCTTGTTTCAAATAAACTGTGTGGCGCTAATAGGGCCCATTTGGTCTGGTAGGGCAGGTGGCAGGGAGACAAGCACAAGGGGGTTTGAGTCAACTAATGCTAGGCTTTGTCCCCTTCTGCCCAGCCACGAGAGCTAGAACCCTGTTGCTTTTTAAAAGGAAAGCTCTGGACCCGGTTTCTGTGCTCCTTTGGCACTGCAACACACTCATAGCCCTGCCCATGTATTGTATACAAGTATTGCTATCGACTTTCAGAGCGGTGCAGGTAGAGCAATCCCACCAGGTTTCCCATTGTCTTTTTAAAAATGAAGTCTGTCAAGTGCTATATATATATATATATATATATATATATATATATATATATATGCAGGTTTTGGTGTCCTCGGGTGTCTTCCCGTGTAAAAGTTGGGGTGTCTAGGCGACGTTACGACGAGGTCTCACTCGTCATCTTCAGGCTGGTGCTTTCGGCTTCTTGTTACTGGAACAGAGCAGGATCTCAGTGTTTGAGTTCCTATAAATACTGTTGAGGGGGTGTGGTGTATAGCCTCCAATGTTCTGGGCAGAGAGGAAGTTCCCAGGTTAGTGTGCCTTTTCTTCTTTTGTTCCTTAATTACTTGAGGGATATCTTGAGTGATTTCTTGAGTGATATCCTGAGTACCACTTAGGTGGGTCATAACGTCGCCTAGACACCCCAACTTTTACACGGGAAGACACCCGAGGACACCAAAACCTGCATTCCTATACCCGTGAAAATCTACGAAAGCATATATATATATATATATATATATATATATGCCACCAGACTTCCGCTACTTTCTGCATTCCGTTATCGTCTGTCTGATTTTGTATTTGTGGTTTTGTTTCCCCCCAGTGAGAGCCACAGGGCAGGGTGGAGACCTCATGTCAGATCTCTTCAACAAACTGGTCCTCCGGCGCAAAGGTACGTTAAGATGCATCAAACTGTTCCCTCTGCAGGTTTCTAGCAAGGCAAAAAGTTAGGGAGCCTCCTGATGGCAGAAAGTATGGCTTTCTTCTTGCAGTTGATCAAGAGGTTCAGAGCCAAGTTACACATTATGTAGATTTAGATTCCCCCCAGTACTTTTTTCAAACCTTCAAAATCAGTTGTGTGTGTGAGAGAGAGATTCCCCATTGGGGGGGGAGTCAGGTGCACTCGACGTCCCAGGCCACTGTGGGAAATGCTGGACTAGATGGGACTTTTGCACCCTCCTGTCCAGAGGGAGGGTCTCATGCCTACTAGCAGAATTACCTGCTGCTCTGTTCTGTCAACCGGGTGGCTTGCTGTTAGGAGGTATTTTTTGCCCCTGTCAAAATGAATTTGGATTCTCCAAGTGTTCCAAACTAATCAGTCACTCAGATAATGTCAAGAGGTTTCTCAAGTGTTGGATCTGAACACTCAGATATCCCAGCTAAGCTGCTCTTCTTGCCCTCTGCTGCTTGTTAACTCTTCCTCCTTCCCCAGGGTTTTAAGGCCCTTTTGGTGGGGGAAAGGTGCAGGGAGGGCATGGCAGCAGGGGTGGCAAGGGGCAAGCCCAGCTTGAGTGGAGCAATGCTCAATGGATGGCTCCCTTTCGCTTAAATTGGGGCTGACCTGTTCAAACCAGATGCACCCAACCCCACTATGAATATTCATGCCGTCTCTAGGTTTCATCTGTACTAGAAAAGTATTAATGTCACTCCCAAAAGATTGGCAGGGTTTGCCAAATCAAGCACAACTAGAAGACTTCTGTAGTGGGTGCACTGCAACAGCAGGACTCTTCTCTCGCCTCCCCACCACAACGATTCAGTTTGCTCCCAGATCTGTTACATCTGGGAGCAAGATCTGTAGCCCCCTACCAAGTGAAACAGGCTCCAACTGCGTTTCTTAATGTGAAACTCACTGCAACAGCCTGAAAATCCATGTGCAGCAAAATAGCACGGAAGATGCAACACCGGATTGCTTTTGGCTGACTTGGCTGTATATAAGAGCCTGCTGGATCAGGCCAATGGCCCATCTAGTCCAGCATCCTGCTCTCTGTGGCCAACCAGATGCCTCTAGGAAAGCAGCAAACAGAACACGAGCACAAGAGCTCTCTGCCCTTCCCATGGTTTATGGGTACGCAGACAAATTACTGCCTCCACACTGACAGCCCTCCTCCTCCTCCTCCATGAATTTGTCCAAAATCCTTTTAAAGCTTTTACCTGTCCTAAGTTATTCCAAAATTCAGCCTTGTTGGATGTCCACAAGTTCTAGTGTTCGATAAAGAGAAAGAGAAAATCTTCTGTATCCACTTTCTCCATGCCCTGCATAATACTTTTCTCTAAAGTCCCAAATGCTGCAGGCTACTGTTGTTCTTGAGTTCCCAAGAAGGGAACATGAGCAGTGGCAAGACAAAACACTTGCTACAGAATTAGGTCCAGGCCTGACCATGGTGTTCTCTGAGGACTATGAGGCATTCTCCTCCCATTAAGCCCATAATGAGGAATTTCTCTCTCCCATCACCCCTGACAACCAGCTATGCTGGCTGGGACAGGGGGCAGCTATAGTGCAAAAGCAGCTTGGAGGGGCAAAGGTTCTCTGTCCCTGCCTTAAGCCTTCCTTTCCTGGGACTGGCACAGGATTCGACAGGCGGCTTCCCGGTTCACTCTGCTTCTGTTTGTTGAGCTAGTTTGCTTCCCTTGCCCTCTAGCTCACCAGCTGCCACTGGCTTCATGCAGCGTGTGCTTTCCTTTCCTCCCAATGCAGGCATCTCCGGCAAAGGGCCTGCAGCTGGAGGAGACAGCAACACCCCCAACGTGCCAGCGGGTGCCTTCGGCCGCATCTCTGATACAATCCCCCCTCTGCCGCCCCCCCAGCAGCCAGCTGGCGAAGAGGATGAAGATGACTGGGAGTCCTAGATCTGCTCTCGGGGCTTTGTCGTGAGTTCACTTCCATGCTGTTAACCTGGGACGGCTGCTGGGCACTTCAGGAAGAGAGAGGCAACCTCTGGTCAGGGACACACTGGTCTCAGCGAGAGATCTGATGCTTGTCTTTCCCCTTTCCCCGTTCTGGCTTGTTTCTAACTCTTGCCAAGTATGCTTATTGATGGACAGCTGCTGCTTCCGCCCAGCTGTGTGAACCATCTCAAGTTGCCCTCTCTGCAGGACCTGCTGCTCATGCTCAGAAGACCAAAGTCAGGTTAGTTTCTCTACTTCTGAGAAGAGCTGCCCCTGCAATGGGATGGGATGCATGAAACAGCATCATCAAGGCCGTTATGGTCAGCAAAAAAACATTTGCCTTCTTGGTCTGAGGCCTGCAAGGGGGAGAGATATGGGCTTTAAAGGGTGCATAAGGACTGGGAGAGGCTTTTTTTTCTCTCTCAGCCCACTTTTCTACGTAGTCGGCTGTGCAAGGAAGCAGCACCCTGACCTGTTAAATGCAATAGAGTACTGGTTTTTTAAAGTCAAATGCAAGTTAACTGCTGATTTGTTTTCTGCTATGTATCTTCAGTGCAGAATGTAAAAGACAGAATTAAAAATCTGATACCCAGGAAGACAGGGGTGATGCCACTTTTTTTTACAGCCAGCGCAGCTAAGCTTTTTTGAGACGCCACACATAGGCCTTGCCCCATTTGAATGGCCACAGGAGAATCTTAATTACACTACTGTAGTATAAAAAACCTCACTCTCCAGTTTTGTCTTCTCTGCCCCCAAACAATAGGAGATCATCATATACAGGAGGTAAATCTACTTCTCCCCTTTCTCCTCATATACAGGAGGTAAATCTACTTCTCCCCTTTCTCCTTACCCTCTATTATCTGTGGACGAAAGATTACATTTGCTTATGGTCACATTAGGTTAAGGCAGTGGAAGCTCTTTCTAGTTGCTCTGGGGAGCACTTAACGGCTGGATGCATCTTTAACAGGGACGTATAATTGGCCGGGAGTTCTTAGCTATCAAATGGCTATGGTCTCCCATTTATATAATACTTTAGGAACGGTAAAAGGTGGGTCCCACTTTTAATGCATGGAGGGCTGTAAGGAGCAAGTGGTTTAACGAAGCCTTCCGTTCTTTAGTTCTTGCTTGCATGCAAGATCTGTGCCTTCTTTCCTGAGGCTTTAAAAGGGATCGCCCTCTCTTCCTTCTCTCCCCCTAAACACAGCTTGTCTTCTTCCCTGGATGGACCAGTAACTACTTCACCAGTCCTGTGGCTGTTGCTCTGACAACAGGAACTTTTTTGCTTAAAGTTCAGATAAGCAAGCTGAAAGCTTAGCACTCCCTTTGCTGAAAGGATTTATTCAGTTTAAACTTCTCATCAGCCAGGCTTACAGCTTCAAAAGCTGAAGTGACCCCAGTCCGTGTCCTCCTGACACACGTTCGCTCTCTTTCACTTTGTAGTTGGTCACATTTGAGCGGGGGGGGGGGGAGCTTTGGCTTCTCGCGCTTTAAAGGATATTTAAAACAGACCTCTACAATTCTCCAAAACCTCCGCTTGGGTTTTCTCTCCCTCCCATCTGAGCCAGTTTTTAAAAACCAAAAACACGATTTTTCCATTGACTTGTCTGAGATCCAGGCATAGCTGTCAACTTTTCTCTTTCCTTGTGAGGAATCCTATTCGGAATAAGGGAATTTCCCTTAAAAAAAGGAAAATGTTGACAGCTATGGATCCAGGACAAAGTGCGTCAGTTCCACTAATGAAAATCCCTGTAATGTCCGGGAAAATCCTGACGTATGGCAGCCCTTATCTATAGAGATGACAAGGGGGGGGGCAGAACCACCACTGGTGCAAATATGCGAGGGGGGGAGGACTAATGAACAAGGCACACATCACAAGGGATACAGCTGCTCACTTACCCTCAGGAACAGAGCAACTCTTGTCCAGCACAAATAGAAGAGCACCCCTCTCCTCCCACAGGGTTTCTGTAACCTGAACTCATAGTGCAACACGCCTAAAGGCTTGGCAACACAAAACTCCTTAAGCATGAAGTTTGAAAGAATGCTTTAGCTATTGAGAAATTCAAAAAACAATATTGACATAAACAAACACTGAAGGCACTTCACACAGAGGGATGAGGCAGCTGCAAGCATTTCCGTTATCTGGAGGGTAAAGACTCACAACTGGATCTCTTCTCCACATGAAACTGCAGAACAGAAAAATGGAAATTACATCAGGCATGGAACCACCAGAAGCAACAAGGAGCACAATCCCAACAGCCGAGCCATGAGCAGGCGTTAAGCACCTGCTGGAACTGGGGAGGGGGGAGGCAGAACTAACTAGTTCCAAGTTGTGCCCCCACCATTTCTCCCGCCAAGGTCTACAATGCCAACATTGAGGCGAGACAGGAGGAAGCTGCTAGGCAGGGCCACCCCCATGGACCGGATGTGGAGAGGTTACAGCCTAGGGGGAATGGATTTCCAAGCCTTTTTTTGGTTTTTCCCCTCAAAAAAATTGAAGGGAAAAAAGGATTATGAAATAGACCAGGTGTTAATATATTTAGTCTCCTAAAATGATTTCTGAAACTCTTAACAGGAAGACTTCTTCGTAAAACTATGTACAGTACCATTACAAAACCCGTACACCAAGGACAAGCAAGCACCAAGTTGTATACTCTCAAATGTAAGCACAAGATGTATTTCTGCCTCTTGGAGGGCACTGCCATTGTCACAAGAGAAGGGAGAAGGATTCAGTGCCTTCTTTGCTTGTGGCCCTCTCAATGGCACAGCCAGTGCATGTTTCTGCCCTCTTAACTAGGCCTCAAAAAACTTGGGAGTGGGAGAAAGAACTGAGCAACGTTAATATTGTTGCCATCCAATTCATGCTGCTGCAAATCTGTTGAATCAAAAATTCAAAAGACAAAAAACGTAAGCGATGATAACACCACTTCTGCATTTGACTGGACAACAAGGCCAAGGAATGCAGCCTGGAATTCTGCCAAGCACATCCCTCCTGCAACATGGTGGCAAGAGCTTTGCTCAATACAGCCTCCAACTCCTCTTGCTTTCTTACACACTTCCATTTTCTGCAGCATGTGGGGAGGGGGAACCTGATCTATGCTTGGAAATACACCAAATCAAGAAATAAAATGACATGGGGGAAAACTGGAGGAAAAAGTATTTCCCCCCTTCCAATAGCTTTGAAATTTCCATAAATTTTATGTCTAACAAGATTTAAGAAAGAAGGCAGGCATGTGATGATGTTGGTGAGCTGGTGTTCCACACATCCTCATAAACCAACCTCCATTGCAGGCCATGGTATCTTACCAAAGCCAAGATTCTCATTCCATGCAGTGTGTGTGTGTGTGTGTGTGTGTGTGTGTGTGTGGTGGGAATAAGCAGAGCCTGGCATTGTGACTCACCTTTCTTAGTGCTGCAAAGGCTGGCCCAAAGACAGGTTTGGTCTGAGTCCTGCTCTTGATCCACTGAGGTAGTTTGTTGAAAATAGCTGGGCGGGCATACCTGTGATCTAAGAGCACAATGCTGGCAAAGTCCTTTTGATGGCGAATTGCTCTCCCTGTTAAGAGAAGCCACACACACAAATCACTCAGCTGTCAACTTATTACAGCAGCAGCCAATGTGATGCACTAAGGCAACCTTACACACGTTCACAGAATTACTGTCCTCTCTTTCCCACCCACCCCCAACATATGAGATAACCGCTGCATGAGAAAGAAAACCAGTTCCTCTTCTGGCTTACAAAAGCTTCCTTGCCCAGTTACTGCTATGGGGAGATTCTTTCTTACCATGAACAGCTAGGCATGTGGCTATTTACAAGGCTGGGTTAACGTGACGGATGGCAGCTTGAGGACTGCGCAAAATTATTGACAAGTTGGTACTTTTGTTCCTGTTGCTTTCACTGCTTGAGGTTCAGGCTACATGCATCAGAAATAGCTGCTTCTAAACTCTGCCAGCCCACAGGAAGCCACCATCAGTGCTCTGTTGGAGAACATCAAAACCCACTTGCGAATTCTGCACTTACCTATTGACTGGTTGACCGCTTTCATGCACAAGTTCTCAATCAGAGTTCTGCCTGGTGCCTGGCCTGTGGTTTTTGGCTGGAGGAGGGAAACCAAGAAGACAGAGGAAGGTAAGAATGAGCAAAGTATCCCCAGAGTCAAGAGCCTTCCTGGCTACCCACCCTCAACGCAGCAGTTTCAGAGGGCAGCACCAGAGCAGGCATGAAAGCAGCAAGGGCTTGAACTACATTTTGGCCTGCCAGTCAAGTCAGGTTGCATATCCAGTACTAGCTGGAGCTGGGCTTGAAGAAAGGGTAAGAGGAGGAGTCAAAAGTACACAGTAGGGAGCTATCCTAAATAATGGGGAAACACCTGTCTAGGTGTTTAGCTTTAGAATAAGGTAACGACAAATGAATTTCAAAGCCTGAGATTCCATCTTGATTTGGGCCCTGCATAAGAAGCAAAAATAAGAGGTGTCCCAGGAACTGAGCATGGAATGTGCTGCTTGAGGTACAAACACACATCCTGCCTGATTTACCAAAGAACAACCCCCCCCCCCAAAAAAAAACCTTACATCATGAAAGCAGCAGCAGCAGCTCATTCCCAAGCCAGTAAACAGCCAGTGCTCTCCACGCACAGGGACATTAAGGGCAATTAAAACAACATGCATGGCTCATGCACAACGAGCGAATCGTGTCACAGTATCAAGGAGCGATGAATCAGCCACCTAAGAGGAACTGTGCACAGTTTCCCCCTCACCTCAGATGTAATAAAGTTTTCAGCTCAGGCTGCCTTATGAGCTCCCCGGGAAGAAGCCCTAAGCGCTGTTCTGCCTGATGCTATGAGCCTCTGTTACCAGCCACTAATTTGATACTGCAGTAGTTAGATTCCATTACAAGGACCAAGCTGTTAACCTCACGTAAGAATGGGGAATAATTACAAGCCTCTCTCACTTAAGATGAATGGTGTGTGTGTGTGTGTGTGTGTGTGTGTGTGTGTTTTTAAGCACTTTGGCTTTCAAAGGAGCAACATTAACTTTCTAATTTGGGTGGCCAATTGGGGGGGGGAGGTGGGGGGGGGAGTAGCTCTTTCCCAAGAACAGCAAAAAGGTACATGGCTATGAAAAGAGATCTCCATAATGCAAGTGTGTCCCTACACTGCTTTGCACATTGCAAAGCAGATCCAGCAAGAGTGGAAAGGGGTGGACAGTTACCATAGTCTTGTCAAGGTATGCCATTTTCTCTTGAAGTTCTGGAGACTTGATGTTGGGGTAAGGCATGCCCACCATGATCACACACCTAGGGATGGGAGGGGGGGGGAAGGAAAAAAGGAAAGAAAGAAAGACAGACACCCACCAACCACAGGTATTTCATTAGCTTTTGTAATAATACCGCAGTGCCCCTTTTAGCAGGAAAACATCAAAGAGGCCATGTTTCATCCTAACATTGCATTAATAGGATTGTGGAGCAAGTACATTAGATACAAGACAGTTTTCCTCCTCCTGGAATCATGCATAAGAGCTCAGGAAACTTTCAAATAAACAGAATTTGGGCAACCATTTTTTGCCCTGGGGGGCAGGGATGTGTGTGGCAGAAGAAGGTTTAATCTAGCGTAAGTTTGCTCCCTGTGCAAACCTGTCCCTCTAGAAGGAGCACTTCTAGCTCAATTCAATTTCTGAAACCGATTTTAGTCCTCTAAGTAACAGTGGGGTAGGACAGAGCCTTAAGAGGAAATGCTAAAGGCAAATCATCGCTTAAGGAAGTACTTCCAACATCCAGAGGCTGCTAGTCTCCAGTCTATGCATTTAATAATTTTATTATTTATATGTCACCCATCTGACTGGGCTGCCCTGGCCATTCTGGGCAGCTTCCAGCAAAAAAAAAAAGGGGGGGAACCCACAGTAAAACAGTTCCTTTGCCCCTCTATCTCACTGCCAAAATCAAAAACTTGAACTAGAAGAAAGTATTTATTTCAGCTGCAGAACTGCACTGGAGAGAAAGGGTTAATGGGGGGGTTCCCACATCTCATGATCACAAGCCAGTCATTTACCTTCCCAGGTCATCGGAAAAATTGATTCCTTCGCTCATTTTCCCACCAACGACGGAGAACAGCAGCGCTCCTGTCATGGGGCCTCCTGATTGGCTGCAACGCTGCATAAAAGAAAGCCCCGCCCCCAGGGGATGGGTGGTTAAAAGCTGGGAAACGAGCGCACCTCTGGGCCAAAGCAGCAGAGTTCAGCTTAGCTGATACAAGGGCATTGCCTTTTTCCACTAAGTACCTTAGCAGCCTGCCAGCCCCTTGGCTCTCACCTTGATGCTCTTGGCATATTCAGCCAACACCTGCTCCACCTGGTTCGCTCGCTTTGGTTCCTGAAATATCTGTTTAAAAAACGCAGAAAACATCAGCTGATGGAGAGATGCTGAACCTGCCCAAAGCACATCGTCATTATCAGTTTAGCTGCATGTTGTCTTTCTGCACACAAAAATCATGCTGAAAGTTGCTTAATACAAGGAGATCAGCAATACATCACACTGCAAGAACAATTTCATAATAGCAAACAAACTTAACAGAATACCAAAAAACCCACCCCAGAATTTCAATTCAGTAAGTGTAGCAACATTACACCTCCAGGCAGTAGCAAAAACAACTACTCAACCTTGGTGCAAAATATTCTAGCCACTGTTTCTAAATTAGACAAGAATCAGGTGAATCTGACCCAATATGGAGGCCTCAGCTTCCCCACTGAGAATTAACTGCTCCTTTGGTATTACCAGTTCAGGCAGCATCATAGCAGGAAACATGGAGGAAGACGACAAGAGGCTTAGTACCAGAATAACCCCCTTCAGACCTGTGTAGCATCTGCACCATCACAGCAAGAGGATCTTGGCTTTGCTTTTATTTATTTTTAATTAAAAACACAGATTTTGTCAGTAGGAAACTAAGGTTCAAATCCCCAATTGACTGTGATGCTCCTCAGTTGGGTCCTGGGCAACCTGGTTATGAGGTTGAATGGCTGCTCCTTGGAGGAAGAGGACACAAACTGAGAATCATACACACACAACTGAATGGGTTTTTATTATGCAATGCCATATGTCCCGTTTGCTCATGATTTGTTGTGCTCACAATGAACTCTCAGGATTTAGCTCTCCAGGTTACAGAAGCTTAATTTTCGATTTGCAAAATAAATTTCAAATGGCCCTCATCTCTGGGCTCTTGTCTGCCTCCGCTGCCAAAGAGCCAAGCTTGCTGCGCTTTGAGAAAGCATGGAGCAGCGCTTAATCTAATTTAGACCCAAGTACACCAATCAGTCGCCCAGCAAGTATTGCTTATTCATTATTGGGGGGGGGGTGGAGGGGAATTGGACATATAAACAAACATCCTCTCTGCTTCACTGTGCAGGCAGCGGGAACAACTCAAGGAGAGGGAACAAAAAACAGAGCAGAGGACTGTAATCAGCCAATAATGGTTTGATTCCGGAACGAATGGCTTCCGCTTAAAAGCACCGGCAGCACCAGGCTGAGCAATTACCTTCTTTTTAGAGGCCAGCTGGGTAAGCACCCCGGTCTTCTCCCAATGCGTATAAACCTGCTTCTCGTACTCGTAAGAGGGGAAGAAGCACACCACGCCCCCAGGGACGACGTTGCACAGGTTGCAAAGGATCCGCCCCACCTCAGCCATCTAAAGAGAGAAAAGAAGCCGCCACAATCTTTAGGGCACCGGATTCAAAAGCCACTGCCTGTATATTAGGCCCGGAGGAAGGGGCCAGCCCCCAAGCCCCACCCGCTACCCTCCTCTTCTCCACCCCATTTGTCCCAGCAGCGGCTTATTATTTTGTACGGAACGCACTGCCAGTTCTGGAAAGGCTATCAAAATGGAGTAAGTTTTGCTACATCCAAACAGCTGCTGTGATAAGAGAATGCTGGGCTTGATGGGTGCCTGGTCTGATCCAGCAAGGCCGGTTGCATCTCCCCCAGCAAGCTCAAAACAGGAAGCGACATATCTTGAACAGTCAAAGTAACGGGGCGGATACTGACCATCTGAGGTAGCCCTCGCTTCTCATAGGTGAATTCCAGCTGCTGGTTGGATGGGCCACTGCAGAGGATGATGGGTAAAATGTTGTCTGGGGGAATCACGTGACCTGACAACATATGAGCAGGCAGAAGGAATGAGAGGCAGCGAAGCTGAACAGCCGTCCCTCTTCATAGCCGCTTGGAAGCAAAGCCGTACCCGAGCCCACCTCTGGACCCAGAGGCCACCGTCAGATTTCAGCGGTCAAGCAAATTGTGTGGCAGAGTCACCTTAAAGAGAGCCACTAAAAACACAAGGTGTAATTTAATCGGAGCAAGGATTCCTTACTCCCTGACTGAACGCTTGAAAGTCACAACTGAAGGGGTGACACGGGAAGCAAGGTGGGATGTGAGTTTGGCACTGACACCTGTGCATAACACAAGCAGCTGTGGATTCTCATAGCAAGCACTGATTTTCTCTGGGGACTGGCATGAGCCACGCTGACTGCTGATTTCGTGACATTTCTTCTCAGCCTGGAGATCTGTAAACAGGCATATTTCCAAGGCGACACCCACGCCTTCAAGATTCTCTCCTCCTAAAGAAACGGGTCCTTGAAACAATGCCCTGAATCACTCCTACTTTGGCAAGCAGGAGAGAAAGATCATTTGGCTCTTAACTATCATATGCTAATAGCAAATTCGATTACCCAAGTGTGAATCCAAAAGGGCACCACCCACAAACAAAACTGGGGGAGGTGGGAATGCTTAGGGAAACCCCAAGGTTTGAGAAGTACAAAAAGAGAGAGAGGAAGCCTAAGTGGACACCACACACACACACACACACACTCACACACTCACTCAATGCAGACAAATTCTCAGTGGGCAAGGAATGACAACTGACTTGGGGGGCATGGATTGGAGTCTGCTGGAAGCAGGCATGGCTGGCTGGAACCCTGAATGGGAGCAGTGCTTTGTCCCTGTCCCACACAGTCATGTTTATATGGCAGGAAGCCCTAGTTAATTCACTGGAATTTGCAGCCATAGTTGCATTTTCCATCTTGGGTTTTTAAAGTGGAGGGAGGGAGACAGCAGTTCTGGCCCTTTTGCTTTCAGCTTATTGCAAGTAGAGCTGCATTCACCAGTATGGATGCTGCCAGGGATTCCCCATGTAAAGTGGTGCTGGAGGTGGGAGGCCGCTGGGCTGCAGCATTTCGGCAGGGAAGGATGGAGCAGGGAACGTTTTGCTACACACAGTGCCATAGCAACAGGCAGGCAGGGTCCATCTGCCCACTGCAATTTGCTGGATGATAATAGTAATTTTAAAAGCACTCCTTTCCCTTCCCTGTCTCCGAGGCTCACCGCAGGAGAACTCCTCGATCCTGTCGGCACCGACACCAGCGCAGACAAGCAGTTGCTCCCGGAAATCGGCTACCTGCAAGTCACAAGGCTTTCATAAAAAAATAGGAAGGCTCAAGCAGCAGGCAGGGCTAGATGGGTGACCTTGGCCAAAATCAAGGGCAGAGCACATGGGCCCAAGTCCTCCTACGCAGAAACCAAATCCTGCTACCTATGTAGGAAGATGCTGTATATATACCAGTTCATGCTACTTGTCCATAGAGCCCAGTATTGTCTACTCTGTCTGGCAGCAGCTCTAAAGAGCTCTGCTAGTTGAGATCTTTTTAAGTGTAAATTGCAAGAACTGAACCTGGGTGTCCTGCATGCAAGGAATGAGCTCCCTTAGCAAACTATGGTCCAGTCAGACGCACTGACCCATTGCACCACGGGAAGGAGCCATTCAAGAGACTGAACCAACCCTCTCAGCATATCGCCTCCCTGTTTCTGAGATGCCTACAGAACCTCCCACAGTCTCTTTCACCCACAAGGCAAATATTTCAGTGGTGCACTGTAGTAATATTCAGCTGTGGTTGCCAGCCTGCCCTGTGACTTTAGCTGCTGTCAAGCTAGCTTTTATTATTTATAGCTGCTTTTCTGCAATTTTATTGAATCTGTATCTTGTCATCTGCCCTGGGAATCTGCTAAAATGAAAGGTGGGTTATAAATGCACCTAATAAAATAAATAAGCAAAACAAAGAGCAGCCCAACTCTTTCCATTGCATCTCCAGAGCACACGAGTAAGAGAGCAACTTTCTAATACATTTATCACTCTGGTGTGTGGTCTTTTCTTATTTATTTTTTTCTGGGCTCCACTATGTTTTATAACTGTTGTTGCTTACTTTGAATTTTTTGGAACTTTAAAAAAAGTTTAAAAGTATTAATGTTGTATTATCTTGATTTTATGCTCTATAAATGCACTGAACAGACTTTGTTCAGAAAGGCAGCCTAAAATAAGTAACCTTCAAAAATAACATTCAGAAACCCCCAGTGAAAAGTCCTTCAGATAATGCCTGCGTGGAAAGACAAACCCAGATTTGCAAACTATCCTTTTAAGGCTGGCTGTACACCAGCAGGTTGTCAACATCGCAACTGAACTGTGACACCAACCAGTTGTGTGCCACATGTGGAAGACCCAAGTGGCATTTGCGCCACAAGGTTGGTGTAATTATTAGGCTGCATCCAGAAGAGTAAATGGCCACAAGACCATTGCAAAGCTTGTGCCTTCCCACATTTCAGGAATACAGTGCATACCCTGACCATTTCTCTTATTTCTGTCCCATCTGACTTGCTTTTCCAGATGGTGCAAGCAACTCTGTCTCCCTCAGTCCCACTGCCCATGCTAGGAAATGAAGTACAGTACTGCCACCAAGTGGCTCCTTCATCACATCGTCAGATTTTGTTTATTTTATTCCTTTCTATATTGCAAACATAGGGACGCGGGTGGCGCTGTGGGTTAAACTACAGAGCCTAGGACTTGTCGATCAGAAGGTTGGTGCTTCGAATCCCAGCGACAGGGTGAGCTCCCGTTGCTCTGTCCCAGCTCCTGCCAACCTAGCAGTTCGAAAGCACGTCAAAGTGCAAGTAGATGAATAGGTACCGCTCCGGCGGGAAGGTAAACGGTGTTTCCGTATGCTGCTCTGGTTCGCCAGAAGCGGCTTAGTCATGCTGGCCACATGACCCGGAAGCTGTACGCCCGCTCCCTCAGCCAATAAAGCGAGATGAGCGCCGCAACCGCAGAGTCGGTCACGACTGGACCTAATGGTCAGGGGTCCCTTTACCTTTACTATATTGCAAACACAGAACCATTAGAGTTGGAAGGGACCCCTGGGGTCATCTAGCCGAACCTCTTGCAATGCAGAAAACTGCAGAACCCCATCCAGTTTGAAACCATACCAACCCAGCTTAGCTTTGCAAATGTGATACAGTGGTGCCTCGCAAGACGAAAAGAATCCGTTCCGCGATTCTCTTCGTCTAGCGGTTTTTTCGTCTTGCGAAGCAACCCTATTAGCGGATTAGCACTATTAGCAGTTTAGCGGCTTAGCTGCTAAAAGGCTATTAGCGGCTTAGAAAAGGGGGGGGAGCGGGGGGGAAATCGCAAGACTAGCAAGACGTTTCGTCTTGCGAAGCAAGCCCATAGGGAAATTCGTCTTGCGAAGCAACTCAAAAACGGAAAACCCTTTCGTCTAGCGGGTTTTCCGTCTTGCGAGGCATTCGTCTTGCGGGGCACCACTGTAACTGTTTAATTGCTGCACTGCAAGGAGAACACTATCAGATCTCAGTTAAAAGCGAAACATCCTAAAAAATAAAAAACTGAAGCAAGATGTATTCAAGAAAACAGCAAGGACAAAATAGACCATCTAACAAGGTTTTGTAAAACAAATGCATCTTTTTTTCTTAAGAAGGTTTGAAGTAACTAAGCCTTTTATAGTTGGCACCTAAAGCTCACAGCAGATGGTGCCAGCTTGATTTCATGAGGCAGAGAGTTCCACAGTCTCCATGACGCCACACTCCATGCACAACTTCTCGTCATGGACAGCTGACATGCCTCAGTGGCCGAATACGAAGACTGTGCAGTGGTCAAGGGAATAAGGTGGCCTTTTTAAGTACATAGGAAGCTGCCTTATACCGAGTCAAGCAATTGGTCCATCTAGCTTAGTACTGTCTACACTGACTGGCAGCAGCTCTCCAGGGTTTCAGAGATGCCGGGGACTGAACCTGGAGCCTTCCACATGCAGAGATGCTCTACAACTCAGCTGCAGTCCTCCCTCACAGTACACAGAACCCAGGTTGCTTTGGGTTTTATAAACCAATGTTAAGGCCTTGGAGACAGAGCACTGGCAGCCAGCGCAGCTCCACAATCATGAACCAATGAAGTTGCACTGTTTTTATCCTAGTTGCAGAATTTGGAGCAGGAAGTATTGTAACCTTGCCCAACGGGGGGCTCGAACCCATGATGTCTCATGCTCTATCAACTGAGCTATGCGTTGTCAAAGCCCATCCTCCTCCCTCTTCCCCAGTTATAAAGGGGCTTGTACTGGCCTCGTATGGTACAGCTTAGAGCTATGGGGCTGTAAAGAAATCCATACCAACAATTTCCATACCTAGTTATATGACCATATGAAGCTGACTTAGACCAGATGAGACCATCTACCTCAGCACTGTGCCCACTGACTGACAGCAGCTCTACAGGGTTTCAGACCGTGAACATTCCCAGCCCTAGGTGGAGATGCCAGGGATTGAATTTGGGATCTCGTGTGTGTGTACGCACACACCTTAAGCAGGAAAGCTTCTGAAACAAGCACAGCCCCCTTCCAACTGGGATTGCTAGTTAGCTATCCACCCACGGTTTACTCCTTTCCCCACCCCCTATATTCTGCAGCTCCACTTATACCCTGCCAGCAGTTGGGGCTCAGATGCAAAAAGCCTGGCAGAGACTGGTCCTGCCACCATGGTGTTACTGAAATCCTGATTTTTCTGAAATGACCCCTCCTGGCAAGATCACCGCTTGAAGGTCAAACACAAGAGGCTAAGGATCCAGGACTTATCAAAAGCAGCAGGCAGCCTGAAGAAATAGGGCAAAGAAGCACAGGCTTGAATGTCAAGCTAATAAATAATAAATTAATAATAATAATAATAATAATAATAATAATGTGAGCCAAAGACTCAAGGAGACACCTTATAAACCTAGCAGATTCTGTTCTTTTGCCAGGAAGGGCCTGCTCCATAAAGGTTATGGAGGATTTGCTTAGGTTGTGTACACCACCAGTTTAAAGTGGATTTGGGGGCCTCCAGTTGTGCAAGTGTTTGACACCACCCACATATTGTTGTCATCCAAAGGGGAACCTACACTCCCCCTCCAACGCTTATTTAATTCAGATTTTCCTGATCCTTTGACAACATGGTAGGAGAGAAAAAACCAGACGTAAAATTGTTACCCAACGGTGGGCATTCTGGAAGTGCATTATGTGAGCCTTCCCCCCCCCCTTTATGTTCATGGTGATTGATGGGTCCCATCCATCACCAAGGTTACAATACTTCCTGCTCCAAATTCTGCAACTAGGATAAAAGCAGTGCAAGTTCGTTGGTTAACCTTCGGTGTGAGTTCACAGCTTCCTAAAGACAGCATGTAGCCCCTTCTACCACTGCCTGCTTGCAAGCAACCGCTACTCAGACCAAACCAAAGTCTAGAGATGTCAAGAAATGTCTCTCACCGGCTGCATGGTGCCTCCAGCAATGACCACGGCCCGACACTCCTTCAGCACCTGGGCAAAGTGCACCGCCGGATTCAGAAGAAGAAACTTGAGGCTGCTCTGAGCTAAAGTGCCTGGAAAAGGAATCATAGAATTGGAAGGGACCCCAAGAGCCATCTAGTCCAATCCCCAGCAATGCAGGAATCTCAGCTAAAGCATCCCTGACATTGGGCCATCCATCTACCCAACACTGTAATTTCGCCTAAAGATACATTTTGAGAGCATTGTCCAACTTCTGGCTCCAAGCAAACAGATCCTTGCAGATTTTCAGGCTGCTTTGAACTAAACTGGGGGGGACGGGGGACGACTCTCTGAAGGAGAGAGTGGCTTCTCACAGAAGCAAGTGGCTTTTCAATCCTTGTGGCCCAGAATCTATACCAGCAACTGCAATTTTAGTTAGTTAAATAATGTACTTGCCCCGTACCTTGCCGGGTGAGGATGACTCTTCCATCTTGGTTTGCGTTTGTGAGCGCAGCCAGGAACCCCTCAATGTGCATTAGGGGAGATGCCATTTTTGGCTGCTCATCCTCAGCCTCTCCAGGGGAGCTGTGTTGAGTCCCTGCAGACCAAAAGAGCAACCTCAGATGGTGAACTTAGTGACACAAAGCCAGGGGGTGCTCGGCAGCTAGGAGGGTAACAAGCTCAGAAGACCATTTTCATTCATCCCACATCTGAAAATTGTTAATGAGATCAAGCAGAGAAACTGATGAAACTCTTGCCAATGCAGGTTTTCTGCTCGTGGTCTAAGCGCCCTGTGTAAAAATGCCCACAGCCCCATCAAAACTTAATTTATTTTGGAAAGAAGGAAAAAATTCAAGCTGTTTCCCCCTAAATGAAGAAACGGCATTCAGGAAACAGCTTCAGTAAATTAACTTGCTCCCCAGGGTGGAGTGAACGGACACACCCTGGTCCACATGGACCTGAAGCTCTTGCATGCTTGAAAAGGCCCCATTCATTGCCACAGAGCGAGCAATCCCATACATGTAAAAGAATACATGTGGGTCGTCTGATTCCATTGAGAGGAAGGGCAGCACACACAGGCAGAGGATACACCAGCATCCCTATGGGGTTACGAAATCACTGCACTGGCAACCATTATAATTGGTTCTGCCTTTTCTAGCCCATTTCACAACTCAATACCTGAGCCCACCTTCCTTCTCTTGCCTCTTGTTCAAAGTTTGCAGGAAATTCTGCAAGCCCGATATCTTCTGGTCTTCTTTCCGGGTTTTCAGAGCTCCAGAAGCCCCGTACCTTTCGATAAAGCCAAAGAGCTGCCAAAATGTAGACAGATTAGAAGTAGTATTAAGGTATTGCCCATAACAACTGATTCTGCGCTCAGGGACCTTTCCTGCAAAGTCTGCAGAATCCTGCATGGTTAAAAACAACATTAGAACCCACTGCAACTTCTACATTCAAACAATGTACAGGTTTGGCTATAAAGTGATGCCCAGTTGGCTGGGATCACTGTAGAAAGGAGATGAAATATATTTTATGCTAGTCATTCTTTGTAAGCTTCTTGTTGTTGTTGTACTGTATTATTATTATTATCTTCCATTTTTATTCCTCTTTGTGGCTGTTTTAATTATTTTTTTACTTTGATATTTTGCTTGTTGCATTTGCAAATCTTATAAAAACATTTTTTTAAAAAAGAGTAAGGAGACAGAAGCCCTAACCAGGAATAAAATAGTATCAAAGCAGCAGCAGATATGGGAACAGACAAAAAAAATTAAAACAATATTTTCATTATTAATTTCCACCCCCAGAAAATAGTCGTCCCCCCCCAGTGCTACCTTTTTGCTCTGAAAATTCAAACTGGCAACCATTCAGAGCAACTTCATATAAGTGACCTTTTCTGTGAAATTGCAGAAATCAGTTCCATTAAGTACCTCGGATTTTCTTTGCAGGGGAGAAAGGGGGGGAGAGTTTCTAGTCCCCAAGACTGCAGAGAGAAACCTGCAAAAATGCTGCAGCAAAAAGTACCTGCCCCCACATTCTAGCAGAATAAAAGGCAGAAAGAACAATACCTTCCTGCTGATGAGGCTTTTCGCACAGTAGTGTTGAACCTGTTGGAAGAGAGAGAACACACAATGGAACGCTCTTACTCATCTTATTTGCTTAGCTCCATATCCCAGCCGCCTCTGTTCAACTGTCACAACTCAACTACTTTTATTAGTTGCTCCAGCAGAAGACTGAAGTACACTTCACTACACAGGTTTAAGTTAGAGGTGGATTTGTAAGAGGCAGAAGCAAGCAGTCCTCCAAAGGATTCCTACCACGCTCCAAGGATGCTCAAGCTTCGAGAGTCGCCACTCTGCCACTGCCATGCATATGGCTGGCTCTTCTAGGAGGAGAAAGTCCTTGATCATTGTTAAGTAACATGGAGTATGTGCCTTCCCAGTAGAAAACCAGCACAGTAGAGAGGAAGCGGGGTAAATGTTTCACACACACACACACACACACACACACCCCGATGTGCTAGGTTTGCATGCATGGAGTATATAATTTTTAATGCTTCTCCGAATAAAAGAAGAGCTGACAGAAACAGAGTAGCCTATTTTATATTATCATTCTGGTTAGATCAGGCCAGGTTTCAATAGAGGATAAAAGAGGGAATTGGCCAAAATAATAAACTGGGGGCAGGGATCAAATAAATTTGAAAAGGGTCCCACATCACTGGTTGGGTGGTTCCTGGGTCTGGGAAAGCCTGAAGACCTCTGGTGGAAACAAGAGGTCTGTTATAATATCCAGTTTTGCATATTTAAAAGATTTAGATCCTAGCCTCAAGTGCAGCCATTTCCAGAATAGGTTACCTTACCTATCTCCTGCTGTCTGCCTTTGACGCCTGACATTCATGTACTTTATGGCCCACCCTATCGTTCCTTCTGTAAACTGTTTGAATTGGTTTTAATACTGCTTTTCTATATTGTTTTCACCTGCCCAAAGACCTTATGCTGATGGGCAGGAAAGAAATTCAAGAAACCCTATAAATAAGTTTTTAAAAGTGTAATATAGTGGTACCTCAGGTTACAGACCCAGAAATAGTACCTCGGGTTAAGAACTTTGCTTCAGGATGAGAACAGAAATCGTGTTCTGGCAGCGCATCAGCAGGAGGCCCCATTAGCTAAAGTGGTGCTTCAGGTTAAGAACGGACCTCCAGAACGAATTAAGTACTTAACCTGAGGTACCACTGTACTACAAACCAGTGTAGATAATATCTATTAAAATAAACTGAGAAGATGCTGTGGATGATTCAGGCAGACCTATCTCACATGGGAAAAGAGGTTATATTTTAAGCTGGCACCGGAAGGAGAATGTTGTCAGCACCAGGGCAGGGCCAGAGCTCAGTGGTGGGGAATCTGATTTGCATGCAAAAGGTCACAGGTTCAATCCCTGGCAGCTCCATTGAGGGCTGGGAACATCCTATGCCTGAAACTCTGGAGAGCCATTGCCAGTTAGTGTAGACGATACAGTGCTAGATGGAACAATTTGGTATAAGGCAGCTTCCTATTGACCTTATTCCACGTGGAGGGCATTCCACAGCCAGGAAAAGGCCTTCTCACATGCTACCACTCACTTTCCCATCCCTGAATATCAAGAAGCCCCAGCTCCCCACTGTGGATGACACCTGGAAAACAGGGGGAGCTGACTAAAGGGAACACCACCACTTTAAACTTTGTTGCTTAACAAGTCCAGAGGAGGAAATAAAAACACATACTGGAATGCAGTATGTTTTGATTTGGAAACAGAGATTATTATTATTATTATTATTATTATTATTATTATTATTATTATTATTATACCACCCTTCATCAAAAGATCTCAGGGTGGTTCACAAGCTAAAAATACAACACTCTCTTCAGAGCTGGGACGTTGAGTTCTCAGCTTCACAAAAATCCTATCAGCACAATTCTAGACACTGGAACAAACCATTCCATTCCTAACCTTGAAGAGGTTGATGTTGTCAATCTGGCACTGGAACAGAAAGTCATTGATAGATTTCAGCTGCACCCCTGGGGGGGGTGGGAAAGAAAGAGAGAGAGAGAATTATCCTAGAGAGATATTCCTTATTCACTCCCAATTAGGTACCCCATATATCCAGCTGATCCATGTCATTTCAGACATTGGAGGCATGACGTACCTGCTTGTGGAATGCTCTGAGTGTTTGGATTCTGATTTATATTTCCTGTAGAACACAAAGAGCAGAGCAATGAGAAATAGTTTACAAAAAAGCCACTCTGAATTAAAAGTGCTGTTTCCCAAAAAAATCCTAAACAGGGAGCTGAGATGACAAGGGCAGACTCCTAAGTGCACATATTAGCTCACACGTGCCACTGAAAGCAGGGGGTGACTTCCGAGTTGCCATGCTTAGGATTCTGCCATAAAAAGAATAATTTACAGCTGCCGACAGCAGCTGCCTAGAAACTGGTACCTGGAGTACCGTGTCTACTTCCGGGTTCAACGTATGATTTCTGTTCGTTTTTTAAAACTGGAATATGTCCAGAAGTGAGCTATCGGGTGAGGGACCAGGAAACCACGTCTATATGAGGGAACGGGTGAAAAATGTGGGCAAGATACTAAAGGGAGACATGAGAGCTGCCTTCAAGTAACTGCAGATGAGCAGACCTGCCATCTGTTGCTCCAGAAGGACTCATGGGTAGAAATGGAAAGGAAGCAGATTTCAGCCAAACTTGAGGAGACACTAAGAACAGCAAGAGCTATTTGACTGTGGAATAGACTGCCTTGAGGTGGGGCAGGGATGATAGGCTTTCCATTGCAGGGGATGGCCAACCACTTGTCAAGGATGCTCTAGCTGCAGACCCCTACACTGAGCAAGAGGCAGAAGTAGGTTATGTCTAAGAGGCCACGCAAATCTGAAGTTCTGTCACTCTCCAAGGCTGCCACCTACAAGGAAACGTTTCGTTCCAGTGCTGTGCATTCACGGCTGTATCCCCCCCCCCAAACACAGATTCCAAATTGCTTCTCATTAAAGGGCTTATTGCATTTGTACATGCTTTAAAAAAATAATTCAACAAGCAATTTGGAATTTGATTACATTAAGCTGGTAGCAAGTTCGGTAAATACAGGAAGTTGACTTAATTATATGGCGTATAGCCAAAGCACGAGCAGACACCTGGGGGGGGGGGGAGAGACCCACGTGCAATAAGCAGATTCCTCTTTATGCACCTCTTAAAAAACCTTCATTTTGCTGCATAGTTTCCTATTAGAATGAACAAAAATGGCAACCGGGAAAAGGTTGAGGCAGAAGTGGAAGACAGAGGTGACCGAAGGAGGACTGGGTTGGGGAAAGGGGAGAAACAAGGTTAGTACAGGCAACTGGGACTGTTCAGGCTCTCCTCAATTTATCTCTTGCATATTCCCACACAAGAAAATTCAGAGGCTCCCAGAGCAATGGGAGCCCATATAATGAGGGATCAGCTTCACCTCCCTTGAGACAAACACTGTCTTTCAAAGTCTGGTTTGGCTTGATGCCTTTGAGGAAAGTAGCAGGAACCTGTTCCCAGCAGAGTGGAAACCAACGAACCCACACTCTCTCTTACCTCCAAGAACAGCCACAAACTTCTCCAGCAGAAACAGAATCTGCTTAATGTACATCAGGTTCTTTGCTTTCAAGCGCTTCCTATTACAGAAATAAAACGGTGTCTCAATGCAAACAGGCAGTGCTCCTGACACAACAGAGCTTACGTTGGGCTTTAGAATTATGCCCCTGGTGGAGAATGAAGCCCTTGGTGGTGAATAAGCACTGCCACATATAGACAACTATGACGGGCGCCTTACTATAATGGCAAACCACGTATGGCTGTTTCACGGATGAGCAACTTCCTCTTGGGACTTGCATGCTCCCCCTCCTTTCTTCAACATGCAAAGGGAGAATATAGTTTTAAATTGTTTTACACTATCTCTGCTAGAAGCAAAGTTTTGTGCTGTGCTTTATGCTTGTTTTCGCCTTTTCCCACAGTTGAATTTTTAAAACATGGCTGAGCACGTGTGAGAAAACATGCACTGCAGTGCAATTGCTGCTATGCTATGTGAGGCGAAGCCATGGTTTGGCCTAGTGCTACATCCAAACCTAAGACTGTGGTTTGCAGTAAACCAAGAACAAACCTTTAGTTATTGCTTGTGGTTTGTCTGGAGTGAGACAAACCACAAGTTCTGATTTGGGTATAGCAGTAAGCCAAACCATGGCTTAGTCCTGCCTAGCACAGGAGCAGCAGGTCCCAGGGAAGAGGGCTGTGGCTGCCTACATGTTTGCTCATTGGTGCAAAGCCATGGTTTGGTTTTAGCATAATGTCCAAACTGGGCCATTTATGATGCTTGTTTCTACTTTGTAAGCCACCTGAATAATTTTATAGATTGGCAGTCATGTAAATAGCAAAAAACCCTAGTTTCACACTGTGCTCAAACATGTCAACCCGAGTTGTAAATAGCTTTACCTGTAGCGCTCCATGTACTGCAACAGCTGGGAATGGGCACAGCACAGCTATAATAGAAATAAAATGTTGGCATTGAAGGCAGCTTAAAAGAAAAACCCACCACTGTGGAAGTGTGAACTCTATGGTGGAAGACCAAAAAACACGCAGCAGAGCAGGGGCTCTGAGGTCTGGCTCACCTGAGAACCGCTAACCTGGGCACTGTAGATGCAGGTGAGGGTATCTATCAGATTGTGGGCTTCGTCAATGATCACCACCTGATCCTTCAGCTTGATCCCAGACGCACTTCTAGTAGCTCCATGCAGAAGCATTTGATATGGCAACACCACCAGCTGAAGGAGGGACCCAGGCTTGGGTTACAAGGGCGATTTGTCACGTTTATGGGAGTAAAGGTGAGTAAGGTCCACCACACATGGTGCAAATGCATTCCCAAAACACACACAAAAAAGTAAGAGTGAACAGGAAGTAGGGGTGAGATGTGTTTGCAAACATGGACTACTTTCCAGTCCCCACTGAGTGTACTTTCAGTGGAAAACCCAAGGTTGCCAGTGCATAGCATGCAAAAAGGTCCTGGGAGAGGCATATAAGGCAGGAGGCAACAAACGGAGCCCTTTTCCTCCATAGTAGAGTTAGGCAATAGGGTGCCCTCAATGGTCAGGAATGATGGGCGCCACAGTCTACAGCATCTGAAGGGCACGACATTGGCTACCGCTGCTCCAACAGGGCAACAGTTCGAAAGGAAGGCTCTACCAGGTTTCTGCTGCCAGGCAATTAAATCACTTTTGGTTGATCTGATCTGGGCCGTATCCAACAGCGTCCCCTCCGCCGACGGAAAGCACCTTAATTAATCAGCAGCGATGGGGTGGAGGCAATTTCTGTAATTTATCTATCTCCCAACAGGACTAGGTCTTTTACATAGCCAATTAAGGCAACTGATGGTACTAGGTGAGGTAAACTATTTAGGCAATTCTAACAATTAGCAAACGTGAAGTCCAAGTTTGTGTACTTGGCTCTAAACCTGCTTTCGCCTACCTTATTTATAGCCCAGTGTTTGAGACACACACAAATGCAGCACCATGGTTTTCACCTGCCTTGCTCAACAGCTGAAGAATTTGAGGCTAAAGGAAAGCGGCTGGTTTGCCTTTTTGTGGGGCTCACCTGAGCAGCTGGGATAGCATATCGGCTTCCATAATACGGGCAGGCCTTCATTCCCTTCCCCAGAGTCACCAGCTGCTCAATATCTTTCACCTCAACCAGAACTTCATCCCGAAGGAGCTGCATGGGCTCATAGGAGTAAAATGGACAAACTGTTCGGCTCACTCGCCTTTTCTTCCCCTCTGCCTCCTCTCCTGTGTTACTCTTCTCTGGAAGCAAAAAAGGTCAGAAAGAAGAGTTGTGAGAGCCAAGTGGAAAGAGGCGTTCATATTAACGTGAGTGAAAGCAGTGCGAGGGGCCCTTCCTACAACCAAAGGTGGGCAACCTTTTTTCTCTAGAGGGCCAATTCCCCTTGAGGGTAATCCACCAGGGGCTGCCAGCCGCTGGTGAGCAGAGATAAAAGTGCTCTGGGGACATGGCTGGCTGGACTCCGAACAGGAGCACTCCCCGCTGCAACATTTTACTGCAGGCCCCACTTTACTGATGATGGCAGAACCTGCCATTGAATTGCACTATATAGTACCACCAAGGCAACTATCTGTGAACAAACAATAAATGTCCATAAAAATGGCAAGTCATTTAAACTAACTGAAGGACATCATCCTCTTTCTATGCTCCTCCCGATGGGAATATGCAGATGGGGACAGATATATCCCTGCTTTAAGTCATTTAGATGCTTTCTTCTCTTGTATATTATTTACTACAAAGCTCGATGACTAAGGTCTTTACCGATGTTGGAGCACTGAACCACTGGTATATCACAAGTGGGCTCTTTATTACTGCATTTGCAATTGTTCAAGATAAGATCCATTTTGGAAATAGAAGAAATGAGCACTGAACCACTGATATAATACAAGCAAACTCTTTATTTACTGTGTTTGCAATTGTTTAAGATAAAACCTATTTCAGGCACATATCTCCACATGCGGTGGGAGTGCCCCAAAATCCAACTATTCTGGACAACCATATGAGAAATATGTAAAATAACCAAACATGTATTAGAAATCGGGCCAGAATTGGCCAAAACAATAACGTCCACTTACACCAAAAAGAACTTATAACCCACCTACTTTCAGCAGCCAGAAACATCATAACTAGACACTGAAGAGACCTGTCAGGAGTAAGCATGGACCAATGGTACCAAACAGTATGGGAAACAGCCTTACTAGAAAAATTAACCAATAAAATGAAACTGACACAGGGACAAATAGAAGACGCCTTCACCCTGGTATGGCTCCACTTTATCACACACACACACACACACACACACACACAGCCCAACAAGACAATGACAAAAATCTACCAACAGCATACAAATCAATATGGCTAACCTGATCCAAAACACCCACCCACCCCACTCACACACGAAAACAAAGACCACCACAGCCAGCCACAAATGAACAACCACACCCTAGGCCAACCCCAACCTCTCTCACCACCAAAGGAACACAAGTGAACAGCAGAGAACCTGCACAAGCAATGCTGACACCAAACCACACATGTATTAAGTAAAATAGAAACATCGTCACCCGACACCCCCCATCTCCCCCCTACCTCTTTCCCCCTTTTCTTCCTAATGTCTCAACAAATGAAAGTGATTTGTAAAAATGTTACATGGGGGGAAAAACACGACAGAGAGACATTGCACATACTTTTGTAAATCAAGAATTTTTTAAATAAAAATACATTTAAAAAAAGATAAAACCTATTTGGGAAAGAAACTACTTTTGCAATTTTTATGGACGTTTATTGTTTGTTTACAGACAGCTGCCTTTGTGATATTATCTTGTGTCATTTGCAGTAGTCATTGTATCACCACCCTGTTCATTGTTTTATTGAAATACACTAGGCACCATTTAGGTCATTGTTCCCAGCATGTGACACTTTCCTACCATGTTTATTCTTCTGCATCTCCATACAACGGTCGTTGATGAGCTGGACGGCTCCCAGGTGCCTCACTTCCTCATTCACACAGAGGTTCTGAGACAGGTAAGGCAGGAAAAAGCAGAAACCACTTACAAAAAAAGAGAGACATTCACAACATACACGGAGCAGAATTACGAGAGGCGAATTGTTTGAGGTTTTCTCGCGGCTGAGACGAAATATAACAAACATTGAAAGACTTTATTACGAATCTATAAAGCAGCAGGTTAGAATAATTACTTATAAATAATGAAATAAGAGTAATAGGATTATGTTCCACAAGAATAACTGATTTATAATGTATGGATTGTATTCAACCAAGATCTACTGAAATTAATGAACCTAAGTTAGTTATGCCCATCAACTTCAAGGGCTCTACTCAGAATCGGACTAGCACTGACTGCCGCCCTATATAGTGATATACTTTTTTGTATGCATGTATAGAAAAAAAATGAATAAACCATATGTAAATGTTTCCCCCTCCAGCACCTCAGATTCTTTGGAATGGAAAACTATTTGTGATTATAGTTTCTGTGGTATGAAGTGCCATAAGCATTGCAGACACACAAATCCAGGACGAAGGGTGTTCAGTATTTGTAATATCACAAGGGTGTCATGCTGCTCAGTATCCAATACCTTACTCAGAATTTGTATTTCTGAAGATGATTTTTCTGGTTTGCATCTTTAACATTTTAATTAAATAATTATCATTTCCACCCGCCCTAAGGTCCCAGGGTGGGTTATGACCATTTAAAATGCAACACTAATAACAATATTTAAAAAATCACAGAGAATACAGTCACAAAAATCAGGGTGGGTCCTAAAAATACTACAAACGGGGGGTGGGGGTGGATGCAGCAATTCCTAACCTTGTGGCATTTCACTATATATATATATATATATATATATATCACATCACTGTTTCAACTGCTCCTAAGTGCCACCAAGAAACTATTTCCATGCTAGGGAGTTCTAAGAATAGACACGATGTAGATCACAAGGTGTTTCCACAATGACAATACATTCAGTTCCTCCTCTTCTCCCCATAAACGTTTAGAAAGGGAGACACGTGACGTAGCATCATCACGCCAAGTGTTCCCTTGCTCCATTTTATTGACTGATGGGGGGGAAGATCGCACAAGGCAAGCAGGATACTCCATACCCTTACTCACCAGCTCCACAGTGGTACCTCTGGTTACATATGCTTCAGGTTAGACTCCGCTAACCCAGAAATAGTACCTCGGGTTAAGGATGAGAACAGAAATTGCACAGCGGTGGCACAGCAGCAGCGGGAGGCCCCATAGGCTAAAGTGGTGTTTTAGGTTAAGAACAGTTTCAGGTTAAGAATGGACCTCCAGAACGAATTAAGTTCTTAACCCGAGGTACCACTGTGTTAAAGAATTCAGCAAATGGACGGGGAGGGCACATACCACGTGTGGGCTGTGCCCCTCCCCCTCGTTCCTGACCTTCACATTTTCAGCCCATTTCGAAGCCTCTCTGTAAGAGGATACACTGATAATAAGGGGGGGGGGGCAATCACCATAAAGCTTTCAAGTGCCTTAGGCTGAATGTGATTAGAACCTCCCTTCAGGAATGGAGGGCCAGGGCCAGCACGCAGACTGATGATTGGGGCAGGGGCAGTGTGCACAGCCCTCACACATGTGGCTGAACACCTGGATGGACCAGGGAAGGGGAGGAGGAACTGGGAAAACAGCTAGCTAACTTTGATGGCAACCCAGTGGTCAGCACTGTCTAGTTCCACCCATGGGGAAATTTCATTAGCAACCCAGCTTCCCCAAAGAAAAGCAGAGGGCTACGCACCTGCCTAGACCCCAAGGAGACCAGTCGCGTCTCCTTGCCGAAAGGGCTCTTCTGAACCTCATGTACAAACTGAGCCAGCTGCGAATGTGTTCGGCTGCAGTAGTAAATCTGAGGAAGAGAAACACAACCGGGAAGCAATTCATACAGGGCCAGTTTAGATGTGATAGAAATGCAGGATTTGTGCTCTCTTCCCCTTGCTTCTGCAGTAGGACAGAGGCATCTGCAAGGCCTGCCCAATGAATACAAAACTTTGGCTCCTGGGGGGCTCACTCTGGCTCAGAGCCAGCACTCAGGCCACTGCTTGGGCCCATGAATCTCCAAAGGGACCGAACAGCCAGAAGGGAAACATTTTGTATGCAACGGCATCAGCCTGACCCTGGGCTCACTAAAGCCAGATGTGAACATCATTTGAAAAACAGGCAAAAGTCTTCCACTTGGGATGGACTTCAGCAACTGAGATAGTGTCTGGACTGAGGGTAGGAGAGTCAGATGGGATTCTCACTGGATTTTAACTGTATTATGTGTGTATGTATGTGTGCAGTTATCTAATTTGAGCCTTAGAAGCTGGGGGAATTCATGCCAATTTGTCATGAAACTTCCCACCTACAGATTTGAAGGACAGCTGCTGGTGCAGGAACCAGATGCCCCTTGAAGCCTTACCTTAGTTACATGCTCCTCCTCTATATCTTCATCATCGTCTTCTTCACTTAACCTAAGGGGTGAAAGCACAATTGTGTCTCTCTTTCCTGTAGCCCCTATGAAACATCTGTCTCATAATCCAGAGCACGTATGACACTGTCTCTCCCCATCTTTAAGCAGGTCTCTGTCCACATACGACAGAGAGCCAGCACATTCCTATTTAGCAATGCAAAGGCACAAAAGAGGGGAAATGGAGTGGGGAGGACATAAGTTTCCCCTCATTTTTTTCTGATGACTTTGCAGAACACGGGGGGGGTGGGGAGAGAGACTTCCTATGAAATATTTTATTTTACAATGAGTGAAATGCTTTTCGAGATACGCCATAAAAGACAATCCACAGCATTAGAGGAGGATTATTCTGGCATATCCAACCCTTAAACCCAAGTTGTACTTCTACACCTAGAGGGTGCTGCAATCTTCATGAGAAGAGCAGACAGAGCCTTCGCCGCTTGTGAATTGCTGCTTCCTTCTTCTTGGTGACCACTAGGTCTAATAATAATAATAATAATAATAATAATAATAATAATAATAATTTATTATTTATACCCCGCCCATCTGGCTGGGCCTCCCCAGCCACTCTGGGCGGCTTCCATAAAAACCACAAATACAGTGGTGCCCCGCAAGACGAATGCCTCGCAAGACGGAAAACCCGCAAGACGAAAGGGTTTTCCGTTTGCGAGTTGCTTCGCAAGAAGAAAGCCCATAGGGAAATCTCCGGGGACCTCTTTTAAATGCTGGTGGTGGGGAGCAAAGCCTTTCCCCCCCTCCGGCCTTCAGAAGAGGTCCAGGAAGGCCGGCGGGGGCCGAAAGGCTTTGCTCCCCACCGCCAGCATTTTAAAAGCAGTCCGGGATAGCAGGGAAGCGCTTCCCGCTATCGCGGACGGCTTTTGAAGGCAGGCGAGGGGGAGCAAAGACTTTTGCCCCCCGCCTGCCTTCAGAAGAGGTCCAGGACCTCTTCTGAAGGCGGGCGGGGGGCAAAAGTCTTTGTCCCCCCTGCCTGCCTTCCCAGGGGCTTTTAAATCGCCCCGGACAGCGGAGAAGTCCTCTGCTGTCCCGGGCGATTTTAAAATGCCGCCCGCCAGCATTTTAAGATCGCCCCGGACAGCGGAGAAGTCCTCCGCTGTCCCGGGGTTTTTTAAAATGCTGGGGGTGGGAAGAAAAGCCCTTGTCCCCCCCCCAGCCTTCAGAAGAGGTCGGGGGACAGACTGTCCCCGGACCTGGTCTGAAGGCGGTTTCCATAGGAACGCATTAATTGATTTTCAATGCATTCCTATGGGAAACCGTGCTTCGCAAGACGAAAAACTCGCAAGAAGAAAAAACTTGCAGAACGAATTAATTTCGTCTTGCGAGGCACCACTGTACAGTAAAATATCACACGTTAAAAACTTCCCTGAACAGGGCTGCCTTAAGATGTCTTCTGAATGTCAGGTAGTTGTTTATCGCTTTGACATCTGCTGGAAGGGCGTTCCACAGGGCGGGCGCCACTACCGAGAAGGCCCTCTGCCTGGTTCCCTGTAGCTTTGCTTCTCGCAATGAGGGGACCGCCAGAAGGCCCTCGGCGCTGGACCTCAGCATCCGGGCAGAATGATGGGGGTGGAGACGCTCCTTCAGGTATACTGGACCGAGGCCGTTTAGGGCTTTAAAGGTCAGCACCAACACTTTGAATTGTGCTCGGAAACGTACTGGGAGCCAATGTAGGTCCTTCAAGACCGGTGTTATATGGTCTCGGCGGCCGCCCCCAGTCACCAGTCTAGCTGCCGCATTCTGGATTAGTTGTAGTTTCCGAGTCACCTTCAAAGGTAGCCCCACGTAGAGTGCATTGCAGTAGTCCAAGCGGGAGATAACCAGAGCATGTACCACTCTGGTGAGACAGTCTGCAGGCAGATAGGGTCTCAGCCTACGTACCAGATGGAGCTGGTAAACAGCTGCCCCGGACACAGATTTGACCTGTGCCTCCATGGACAGCTGTGAGTCCAGAATGACTCCCAGGCTGCGCACCTGGTCCTTCAGGGGCACAGTTACCCCATTCAGGACCAGGGAATCCTCCACACCTGCCCGCGTCCTGTCCCCCAAAAACAGTACTTCTGTCTTGTCAGGATTCAACCTCAATCTGTTAGCCGCCATCCAACCTCCAACCGCCTCCAGGCACTCACACAGGACCTTCACTGGTTCTGATTTAAAAGAGAGGTAGAGCTGGGTATCATCCGCATACTGATGAACACCCAGCCCAAATCCCCTGATGATCTCTCCCAGCGGCTTCATGTAGATGTTGAAGAGCATGGGGGAGAGGACCAAACTCTGAGGCACCCCACAAGTGAGGGCCCAGGGGTCTGAACACTCATCCCCCACCACCACTTTCTGAACCCGGCCCAGGAGGAAGTAGCGGAAGCACTGTATAACAGTGCCTCCAGCTCCCAGCCCCTGAAGACGGTCCAGAAGGATGTTATGGTCGATGGTATCAAACGCCGCTGAGAGACCCAGCAGAACTAGGAAACAGCTCTCACCTTTGTCCCTAGCCCGCCGGAGATCATCAACCAGTGCGACCAAGGCAGTTTCAGTCCCATGATGAGGCCTGAATCCCGACTGGAAGGGATCCAAATGGTCCGCTTCTTCCAGGCGTGCCTGGAGTTGTTCGGCAACCGCTCGCTCAATCACCTTGCCCAAGAATGGAAGATTTGAGACTGGGCGATAGTTGGCCATCGTGGCCGCATCTAAAGATGGTTTTTAAGAAGCGGTTTAATAACCGCCTCTTTCAGCGGGTCTGGGAAGGCTCCCTCACGGAGGGAAGCATTCACCACCCCACGAAGCCCATCGCCCAGTCTAGTATGCGATCGTAGGACCAAGTAGAAGAGAAGAGGAGTTTGGATTTGATATCTGACTTTATCACTACCTGAAGGAGTCTCAAAGCGGCTAACATTCTCCTTTCCCTTCCTCCCCCACAACAAACACTTTGTGAGGTGAGTGGGGCTGAGAGACTTCAGAGAAGTGTGACTGGCCCAAGGTCACCCAGCAACTGCATGTGGAGGAGCGGAGACGCAAACCCGGTTCCCCAGATTACGAGTCCACCGCTCTTAACCACTACACCACACGGGCTCTCAAGTAGCCTGCTTCTGATGCCCCTTTATCTTGCCATCTTATTGCCATCCTTACCTACTTCCCACTTTCTTCTCCTCATCGCTCTCGTACTCTGCAAGGATCAGATCTTCCTCACTCCGATCCAACGGCTCCAAAGTACCCAACTCATCCGGGTGAGACAACATGTCCTTACTGAGCTGGAGTAGCTGCTCTGCCTCTTCCTCCTCCATCCTCTGAAATAAGCATAATGGAACTGTCAGCCCCTCCAAGTCAGTTAGCTCACTGTCCTATAAGGAAAGGCTCCAAACCCTTAGTGTTTAAGGAACTTAAGTGTTCAACCCCCAGAAACCAGAGGAAAATGCTATTTGTATTCCTTGAAATTTCTCAGAGAACACAAGCAGTAGGCAACTGCTGTGTCAATAACAAGAGCAATCAAAGCAAATGTGGGGGGGGGACCCAACCACTCAATACAGCAGCCTTATAAAGAATAACAAGTGGGGCCTTCAACAAGTGCAGAGTTTTCCTCTTTAGAGTGCCAGTCATTTTATTCTACTCCCCTGGCTCAGTTTTTCATCATTTTCTCCCTGCCAATAGTTAGTTAGCGTTCAATACACGAACCATGGAACTCTCAGCATTCCGGGAACCACAACTTATCAACGAAGCTGCAATTAAACATGGTTGGGATTGTGCTGTTGGCAACCGAAGGATAGGCCTGTGGTACCTGAGTCCTCTCACCTTTCTTTTAGAAGTGTATTTCAGCTGCACGTTGTGGCGAATTTGCTCCAGACGTTCTTCTCGCTTCTTCCTCCTGACCTGCTCCTCCTAAAAATTGAAACAACAGTCTGTGAAAGTCAACCATAAGTCCTGGAATGAAAACAGCATGCCGTTTCTGTACCCACTGTGAATCCCAAGCACGTTAGAGCCTCCCAACTAGATTATATATGTTTCTAGACCACCTGGTGTATAAGGTTTTAAAACAGTAGCTGTAACCCAGTTTTCACACAGGTGGCAGAAGCTCGTGAGAAAATATCCCAGAAGATTCTTTCACTTTATATGTTTCCCCCATCTCTAATTCACCTTGTACTCAATGGGCAGGCAGAATAAAGATGGTTATGCAGTAGTATGAAACACTATAGATACTGTCATATTTAACAAGGAAATGTAGCGCCTGGTGCATTTCAAGAAGATGCTACTAACCAGAATCTCCTCTTTTTTTTTAATAGCTTAATTAGCCTTTTCTAAGAGAACTTTTGAGTAAAGTGAGACTTGTGAGCATATACTTATTTAGTTCTCTATTAAATATTTGCAACTTGTTTTGTTTTTGTTCTTTCGGTGTTGCAATACCACCACAGTTTAATGGTATTCGAGGTGGAAAGGCTGCCATCTTATACTCCTGTGGAGATAATTTTCCAGCTATTGGCTCTATGCAGGACTGCAGCCATAGGCCATGAGTTTTAAACGTTTCAATTAAGTATTTTCCTTATGGTTTGGACACCATTCTCTTTCTGGCTTGGAGTTACAAATTATTATTCTGTATTAAACTAGTATTTCTGGGTTCTTTAAAGAGATGGCACATGCAAAAGATTTAAGGGTGATGCTAAATGTATACGGCTCAGAGAGAGGAACTGAAGCTACAAAATGAAAAATGATTCCTACATCCACTGTCTACTGACTCTGCCTACCTCCACTGTTAGCGAGGCAGCATGCCTCTGAATACCAGTTGTTGGGAATCACAGGTGGGGAGAGTTGCTGTTGGCTCTAGTCCTGCTTTGAGGCATCTGCCATAGGCATCTGTTTAGCACTGTGAGAACAAGATGCTGGACCAGAAGAGCCTTTGGCGTGATCCACCAAGGCTTTTGCTATCTCTTGATTATTATTTTTTAATGTTCTCATTATTCTTTTAGAGTGACATCTCTGAATTCGCCACCTAGACAGGCTTTGCTCTAATCAATAAGCAGCATTACCTTCAGCCTGTGGACCATTTCCCGTTCTTCTTTCTTCTGCACAAACTGGGTGATCCAGTCGGGCTCCCCGGCCGATGCCTGGCTTCCCTTCCCAGGCTGCTCTTTGGCACTCTTTCCATTACTTCCGTTCGCCAGCAGGCGGGCCTCTTCCTGTCTCTTTTTCTCTTCAAAGTCTCGGAGCCACGAGAGGGCTCCACAAATGAGACTCAAAGATTTTCCCCTAAAAATAAAAGTCAGAGTTGCTGCTGTTGTCTTAGTACCACTTATGCAAGAATCTAGGCAGCAGCATTTAAATTTAGAATACAGAAGCCCAAACATTACTTACTGTTCCCAACAAGCCAATACCTGGTTGTTGTCTATTCACAACGACAGATTATTGCTGCAACCCACATAGCCAAGCATTCTGGGTTGCTACAGCACTTTGGGGAAGGGCTGTAGCTCTGTGGTAGAGCATGTGCTTTGAACACTAGGCTTAATCCCCAGTATTTCCCAGGTAGGACCAGGAGAAACTCCTGTATGAGCCCCAGAGAGCTGCTGCCAGTCAGTGTAGATGACACCAAGCAAAGTGGGCCAATGGTCTATCTTGCTGTGAGGCAGCTTCTTATGTTCCTAAGCAGCAAACCACACTATTTCTCCCGTTCCCTCCCCTCCTTCCACAGCACCCCACTCCCTGGCTGCAACCAAGTCCTGAGAGCCTTTCTTCCATGTTGCAAGGCATTCCTTCTCCAGCCACATGAAGTTCACACAGCCACCTTGAGGCCTAAGTAGCAGAAAGATGAGGAATCGTCAGCGCTTCAAATATTATTAAAAAAGAAAGAATTACTGTGCCGGTTGGGCTTTCAAATATGCCAATCTTCCCAGTCTCCAAGACCTGATAGAGTTTAGTCATGAATTCTTCTTGAATGGGGTATGGCACATAAGGAAATGGAAACTTTGTTTGGCTTCTTCTTGGCTCTCCCCAGCCATCTCCTGCAATGAAAAAGAAACCCATAAAGCAGTATTCTGAATCACCCCTGACTATATATAAACTAGCATTTCTACAAAGGCAGGCAAAAAGGACATTATCAACACAGCTGAAATAAAACATTACACGAGCACGAGGTCCTGTGGAGGATGGTAAAGATGGCCCTCTCCCATTATGTGCACATCTGAAGTTATCCCAGGAACCCAGCCAACAGTGGAATCTATCAAAGATTACGCCAAATGCCTACAAGGCATTCCAAACCACCTTATTATTATTATTTATTACATTTGTATCCCGCTGCTCCTCCAAGGAAGGAAGGTGCTGCAACTTCCTTTCCCCCCTCGTCCCTTTTTATCCTCACAACACTTTGAGGTAGGAAAGGGCAGCCATTACCCTTCGCGCCGCCTCCGGAAGTGTAGCTCTTCTCATTTTAGAGGCACGGAAACTCAAGCTGAAAAACGATGGCTTGCTTCACAGTACCATATCTTGGTCATTCTGTTGCACGGCCCTGTAAAACCAATTCATATTCTTTTTACCATATTATTAGATAATAGGGCTGCTGTGGAGAGATGTTGGCTTACTCAGGAAACTATGGTTGAGCAAAAATCTGGGACTTTTTAATATAGAGTCTTCCTCCATGGCTCTTCTTAAATTTATCATCTGGTTTCCTTATCAATATTACATGTTTACTGTTTCTATTATACCTGCAACATATATCTTACCTTACCCAGGTTTGGGGCATCAGAGTTGTTTTATTACATTTTTTACGTTCTTGCTTTGGAGGATTGTACTTGTGTCTCCACAGTAATTCTTTTAACAAAATAATAAAGAAGAAGAACCACCCTTCATAGATTAGCCTGAAGCCTTATCTATGAATATATTCTGTTTCCTACAGTGACTAGCCAGATACTTCTGGGCAAGCCCATTGACAGAACATGAGGGCAATACTTCCTCCCTCCTGTTCTTGCTCCCCTGTAGCTGGTACTGAGATGCCTACTGTCTTTATGAGACATACAATCTGATTCACAGCTCAGTGTCTTAACCATTAGAGCAGGAATGGGAAATCTCTGGCCCACCAGATGTTATTGGATTACCAGTTCCTGTTAAAGCTCATCATTTGCCATGGGATTTTGAGTAACGAGCATCTGGAGTGCCACAGGTTCCCCATCCTTGGAGAAGACTAAAGCCACCTGAAATAATGTTACTAACCACTGATGACACTACTACTGCATTTTGATCCGCAAACACTGGGATCTCAATCACCCTGCTCTATCCTCTCATTACTAATGTTTATAAATGAATACAGGTGCTGCTATGATGAATGCCTTGTTGTGATCGAAATTCTCCACTGCCTAAAGTAAAATAAAAAAAAAGAAATGACTCGGTGAACTGTTAATAGCATTTGCAGTGGTGTAAAATTTAGTTTTGTGCTCAGAGGGAGATTGCTGGAAGGCAGACGTGCTGTGGAAAATGCTGTTACAAAGCCCACATCAGCAGAGGTGGGCACAGCAAACACTTTTGCATGCTGACCCATAGATCTTTGTTGGATTTTTGTAATGTATGTGGAACTCAGAGAGGCTGAAGAATACCCTGAAGAGGCGAGTTTAATACTGCATCTTCAGAGTCCTGTTACTGATAAAACAAAAATCTCATCTCCAGATCTTTTTGGCAACTTGGCTGTGTCTGCTACTTCTTTCTTTATTGAGGGAGATTTCACCATACAATAGCTGTCCTTGCAAAATGAGACAGTCTACACAATGACCACTGAGTGCTGAGATGAACATTTCTACTATATTCTACTAATACTAAACTCTGAGTGTCAATCCTTGAAAAAGAGGAGTTAACATCAGGCTCAGGGGAAACCTGGGGTTTACAGCACTACAAAAATGTTTTGTTAAAGAAAATAATACATTGTAAAATCCCCTCCCAAACTGCTCAGTGTCTATGGAATGATGGGTAACTCTGGGGTGAGGTGGGGGCACACAGAAAGCCTGGAAGGAAATACAGTACAATATCCTGGCTAGAACCTTGCAGAGGAGCACTCCGTGTGGCAACATTTTTTCCCCTGCTCTCCGTAGCACAAAGTTTCTCAAGTGTTTCTGCCAGCCCTCCATTCACAGGCCAGACTGACCCTCTGCACCCAACCACGGACGGTGTGACAACTGGCCTTTCTGTACAATCTCCTATCGCTGCTGTGGCTTCAACTAGGCTTCAGGCCCTCATGGGTTGGCTATGAGATGTGTGAAAAAGCACATGAAAGGTTTGCTGTGCATTTATTGTAATCCTTAGATGAGCAGCCTTGTGAGGCGAGCTGCGAACTCACCAAGGAGTTGGCAGGCACCGTGGTCCACTCTAGATCCTGCTCACTTGTCTTAGTGGCTTGGCCACTGTCATCAGCCACAACCTGCTAGAATGAGGACCAGAGGTTGACAGGACTTTTCTCCTCATGTCAAACCTTACAGGACAATTCAGAATAACTTATGAGACAAGCACTTTGGGAACCTATTTCCTTGCTTGTCTGCCTGCATTTTTTGGTGTCCATAAAATGCAAACTCCTGTTTCTAAGCTCTATTGCCTGCGCTAATTTGCTCCTGTTGCCTTATTTACATTGATTGCTTTGGCTCCTTTGGTTGCTTTATACTTGTTGGCTGATTTCCCTGGTTCCATCAGATCTGTTCTGCTCTGCTGCTGTTCCATTGCCTTTGGCAAGTTTACAGTTGTTGCTGCTGAGCGTAACTTTCCCCTTCTGTATGTCCACAGAATACAGTGGTACCTCAGTTTACAAACTTAATTCGTTCTGGAAGTCTGTTCTTAAACCAAAGCGTTCTTAAACTAAGGCACACTTTCCCTGCTGAGGCCTCCCACTGCCAGTGCCCTTCCACCGTTCGCTAACCGGAACACCTACTTCCAGTTTTGTGGAGTCTGTTCACCGAATTGTTCATTAACAGGGCTGTTCGTAGACCGAGGTACCACTGTTTTCTCTCCCACACCCAAGTTTTTGGGTCCCAGTTCTCTCTTTCCCCTCCTATCTTAGAAATACAGCTGCTTTTTCATTTGCAGAAACCCACTGCTTACTTAAATATAACTTTAATAAGCATGTGAGTCATAAACTATGGGACAATAGTACTGTGTTTGAAAAAATCCGGGTGTAATATGCATCTATTCTGTTTCTTTTCCAATCCACCCACAACTTTTGGGGCCCAGATGGGCTTCTCTCTTACATTGGTCCACTGTATTTACAGCTTTGTAAATCTTGTTTGTCCCTTGCATGGGGTCTTAACAAGCGTGATATCTCTGCTATTCAACTATTTAATTATCCCACCTGGTTCCTTGAAAAACATTTTTACTAGTCTAAAGCTGAAATATTAGTGGAACTAGACTTTTTTTTTTTTTTACACTGATGGTATTAAGGATTTCCTTAAAGGTAGAATGGTAAGGGCTATAAAACTTTTGGCCTGGTGAAATAATGTCCTTTTCAACTGGGAATAAGCCACAATGGCCTGGTTTGCACATTAACACTAAGCCAGAGCTTATTTGATCATGTTGTAAACCAAGTCCAGCCGACTAACTACGGTTTGTTTCAGCTAACAAGCCATGATGTGAAGCTATGATTTGTTGCTGATATATGATCCATGGCTTACTTTTAACTGTGGTTTGGTGTTACATCTGAATATAGTAGTAGCCTTACTTAACCATGGTTTGTTTAGCTACCCCACCCCAAACACTCATCAAGTTACAATGGCCCAGGGCAAGAGCTGCTGGAAAACAGGGAAAGCTTTAGTGAAAAAAGATGTGACTTGTCTGTGGGACAACTCATAGTATTATTGCATGCCATCCCAATCTCTGAGAGGTGTGAGATTCCAGGGATTCTAGGAGCTTACCCTAAGGTTGATGTTTCCTTTGGAATGAGGTACAGTGAAGTTTGTGGTGTCTTTATGATATATGGTTTATTTACTACCTGAGCATTAACACCCCGAGATGGTCTGTCTTCTCCCCCATAGCCACAGCCTTGGATTTCAGCAGAAATCAGGCATGGCTCTATCTCTCGACCTTTTCAGCCTGCCCCCTTTTCTTGCAGCTTTTAGCTCATATAACGCAAGTCTCCACTCTTTCCTTTTGTCTATTCCAGCAATTGAATCTATGCTGGATCCAGGAAGTAGAAGCAGGGCTCAGGCATACAGCTTACTCCTGCTCCAAAAAAGCAAGCAAGCAAACTCCAAACCCTCATAGCAGCATGTTGAACAAACCAAGACTAAAATGGGCCATAGCTTAGTATTATGCAAAAGCAGCCACTGGCAATGTGATATACATCCCATATTTTGAATCAAAGTAGAACCCCCCCCCCCTTTGAGCAGCTGTTTTACTCTACCTGGCAGGGAAATGTACTTGCAGCTTTAGATTACCTTCATAATGCTGCAGAGCTCTCATTGCCTATGTAGGTCAGCTGTCTCTAGCAGCCAATACTTGGTGTGGGTAAGCGTTCTCTGATTCATCCATCTGATTATATTTCCTCCTTGGATTTTTCTGGGGAGATTGCCAGCATGGGTCTTGTGGGTCCTGGGGTTTGTGTTCTCTCACACCATGGTCTCACACCATCCAAACAAGAAATGCCACATCTCATTTTGCAGGCTCAAGGAATCCCCACGTTTACGTAAATGTGTGATTTTCTTTTTCCATCTTTCACTTTTCTCCCCAACGAGGGAATGAGCAGGGAAGGAAGCATGCGAACCCAAGACTTTCTTCCCAGACTTTCTTCCCAGATACAATTTGAGAGTGGCAGAAAACCTGAGTGAGGCTGCGCTTTGCAAGCACACTGCTGTAACTGTCTGCTACTGTAAAATGTATGTTTTCCAAATTGGAGAAGTTAATGAAAATGTCAAAAGCTTTGACGCATTTCATCTCATGCATCAACATATATAAACCATTCAGCTGAAGCAAAT